GCACCGGGATCGCACCCCTTGGGGCTCGGCCCGCCCCTCGCTCAGCCAGTGAGCGGGAACCAGTCTGTATGTGGGATCCGACCCCTCGGTGGGAGCGCCACCGCGCTCCCAAGCGGCGCACTATAGCAGTGCGCCACCGGGCCAGCCCTCAGTTTCCTCATCTTTAAAATGAGGATAATACTATCTACTTCAAGGGTTATATATGTAAAGATAAAATAATCCAAAGTGTAAAATGCTTAAAGTGATGCCTGAGCCCTCAGTTTCCTCATCTTTAAAATGAGGATAATACTATCTACCTCAAGGGTTATATATGTAAAGATAAAATAATCCAAAGTGTAAAATGCTTAAAGTGATGCCTGGCACATGGTAAGCACTCAACAGAAGTTGGCCATTACTTTTATTTTACATATGTATATACAGATGCTCCTTGACTTAGGATGGGGTTATGTCCCAATAAACCTATTATAAATTGAAAACATTTTAAGTCAAAAGTGCGATGGGTTTCAACTCACAATGGGTTTATCAGGAGGTAACTGCATCCTAAGTCAAGGAATATACTGAATGCATATTGCTTTCACACCACTGTAATAAGAAGTTGAACCATCATAAGTTGGGACTGTCTGTATATATATATTTTTTGTTGTTACTGTCACCATAAACCAGACATCATTTAAGCAGTGGGGATATGGCAGTGTACTGGGCATAAGTGGAGTTTGCATCTGGTGCCCACTATAAGCAATCACTCTTCTACATGCTTTATCTATTACTAACCCATTTTACAGGTGTGGTCATGAAGGCACAAAAAGAGGTTATGACCCTTTCTCAGGGTCACCCACCAAGTCATAGGAAAACCACCATCTCTGGGCCTCCAAAATAGAAGTTGGCCCCACATCTTCCTCAGCCCTCAGAACCCGCCTATTAAGAGATAAAAGAGCCCAGCACTGAAGAACAGAGCTGAGGCACTGCCAGCTGCCCTCCAACTCTGGTGGGGACCCAATACAGGTTGTGTGGCACTCACATTGTGCCTCAGTTTCCTCCTGTATATATGAGGATAATAACAGTATCTACCTCCTAGGACTGTTGTGAAAATTTATGTGTCAAGTACCTGGAAGACAGCCTGTCACGTAGTCAGGAACCACATAACTGTCAGCTAATGCTGTTATTTGTAATTTACTTTTTATTGTTACTATTTTGCTGAGGCTGCCTGGAGCCCTCTGGACAGCCCTCACCCATGCCTGCCCCTCAGCCCTGTGGCTGCCAAGACCCTCACCGTCCTCGCTAGGAGCTCCAGGGGATGACTCCGAGTCCGAGGAGCTGCCTGGTGGGCCCCCACCCGCGGAGGTGTTGCCCGCTGCCTCCTTCAGCCACTTCTTCCTCTTCTTAGGGGGCGGCTCGGCCTTCACCTTGGTGGGCCGGGCCTTAGGCAGCCGGGAAGGGGCAGGCTGTCCTGTGGCGAGGCTCCGCTCCAGCCGTGTCTGGCGCCCAGCTGTGCCCCGCTCACCCCGCAATGGCCGCTCCCCACGTGTCACCCTCTCCTTCTCCTTTTCCTTCTCGACAGGCCGTGGTGGGGATGGCTTCTCAGGGGCAGGGGGCTCAGACACGGACGTCTCAGGTGTCTGCTCTGGTGGCTTCTCAGATGTTGCCTTCTCAGGGGTTTCAGGCTTGGGAGGTGGTGCTGGGGCCTTGGGGGGCAGTACAGAGCTGCTCCCAGCAGATGCGGGGCCCTTGGCCTGCCCAGAGCGTCTGGAAGAGAATGAAGAAGGGACTGCAGTCAGCAGCCCCCAAGAAACACTAATTCTCCTCTGTGGGACCCCCCTGCCTAACCCAGTGCTAGAAAGCACAGAAAGAGCTTCCCTCACACTCTGTCCCCTCTCTATTGAGTCTCTGTCCCCCACTCTCTCTGGGTCTCTGTTTCCATCTCTAGGTCTCTGTCCCCTCTCTGTCTGGGTCTCTGTCCTCTCTCTGTCTGGGTCTCTGTCCCCTCTCTGTCTGGGTCTCTGTCCCCACCTCCAGCTCTATTCCTCCCTCTTTCACATGCTCCATTCCATGCCTGTGGCCCTGCCTGCCACCTGCCCCTTGACCCCATGGCAGGTACCTGACAGGCACTGGGGGCCGGTGCCAGGGTTTCCGAGCACAGACCCTCACGTAATCCTTCTTGTTGACATTTTCCAGGAACTTTACATAGAGGCGCTGGTACCGGTTTTTCGCATCCCCAAAATACCCCAAATACTATGAAGGGAAAGAGGCACATGAGGAAGTTCTTTACACACCCCAGACAGGCAGCCTGACACCCAAGCCTCCCACCCTGCCCTGGACCACCTCAGAAGTTGCCTGGAGCCTGTAGGAACTGGAGACCCCCTTCCAGATACACCTCAGAGCAAGGGCAAGTCAGAGCCACTCATGAGGGGGACCTAGACTTCTAGATAGCACCCCGGGAACCCCCCAGAGTCCTTGTTCCCCTCTGGATGCTTACGTTACTGGTGGCACAAAACTGCCTCTGCCCGTCCTTGATCTCTGGAGTGAATTTCTGCAGCAGGGCCTTCTGGACTCGCCAGATGGGTGGGGGCTCACGCCCCGTCTGCAGTGCCAACTGTGGAGGAGGGGTACAGAGAGGCCAGCGGGGTCAGCCCCCGTTCCTGAACCTCTCCTCCAATCGCTGGCCCTTCTGGCCTCCCTCACCAACCCCTTAGATAAAAGCCATAGTCATCAGCAAACATCAACCATGTGCTGACAAATACCTTTGGGCCCCAGAATGTCTTTAGCCCTGGGCTGCAGCTGGATGCCAGCCCTGTCCTCCTACCGCCCACCCAACATTCTCGACCACNTGATCTCTGGAGTGAATTTCTGCAGCAGGGCCTTCTGGACTCGCCAGATGGGTGGGGGCTCGCGCCCCGTCTGCAGTGCCAACTGTGGAGGAGGGGTACAGAGAGGCCAGCGGGGTCAGCCCCCGTTCCTGAACCTCTCCTCCAATCACTGGCCCTTCTGGCCTCCCTCACCAACCCCTTAGATAAAAGCCATAGTCATCAGCAAACACCAACCATGTGCTGACAAATACCTTTGGGCCCCAGAATGTCTTTAGCCCTGGGCTGCAGCTGGATGCCAGCCCTGTCCTCCTACCGCCCACCCAACATTCTCGACCACGCTGCTTGCTCTCGTGCCATACGGTTTTATCTATTGTAGCTTTATGGTATAACAATGCCAAGTTTCCTGTGTGACTCAAAGCAATGACAACCCCTGAGCACCACCATTTGCCAGATACCATGCTGCGCACAGGGCACAGCGGTGAACGAGACACACTGCTGTGGTCTGAATGATGTATCCCTCCCAAATTCATATGTTGAAACCTCATCACCAATGAGATGGGTGATTAGAAGGTGGGGCCTTTGGAAGGTAATTAGGTCATGAAGGCAGAAGCTGCATGAATATGATTAGTGTCATTATAAAAGGGACCCCAGGGCTGGCTGGTTAGCCCTGTTGGTTAGAGGCAACACCAACATCAACAGCTTGGATCCCTGTTCCAGCCAGCCACCGATACTTAAATAAGTACATACATACATACACACATATATATACATACACACGTAAAAATAAAAGGGACCTCAGCGAGCCACTATGCACCACCTTCTATGAACCAGGAATCCCTCACTGGACACCATATCTATCGGTGTCTTGATCATGGACTTCTTTTTTTTTTTTTTTAAAGATGACCGGTAAGGGGATCTTAACCCTTGACTTGGTG